GCCGTAAACCCTGCATCGGCTGGGACACGCCACGCAAACCTGCATGTCGACCAGAGCTCGAGGCGGACACCCAGGTCCTCAGCACCGCCAGCTGGAGCCAGACACTCAAGAGCTCAGCTCCCAGTATGCATTCAGGACTTTGAGCCCTTTAAAAAACACTCCCCCTGACCCCGATCACTGAGAAAAATCGCACAGAGCAGTGACCTGACTCGGTGGGATCCCCTAGACCTCTCCACATTTGATGATGATTCTGTGGGACTAATTATATTTCAAGATCCATCATTTAGCCAGTTTTTAATGAGCTCTGTTTTGATTTTGTATATAATTCTAGGGCTGGTAGAGACCTCAGGAGGCCATCGAGTCCAGCCCCCTGCCTAAAGCAGGTCCAACCCCAACTAAATCATCCCAGCCAGGGCTTTGTCAAGCCCGGACTTAAAAACCTCTAGGGATGGAGATTCCACCCCCTCCCCAGGGAACCCATCCCAGCGCTTCCCCACCCTCCTAGGGAAATAGTTTTTCCTAATATCCAACCTAGACTTCTCCCATTGTCTCTTGAGCCCATTGCTCCTTGTTCTGCCACCTGTCAGAACAGTCTCCCTCCATCCTCTTTGGAACCCTCTTCAGATAGTTGAAGGCAGGGACGGATTAAGCAGGGGGCTAGCCAGGCAGCTGCCCGGGGTGCCAACCTATGGGGGGCGGTTGATGGCAGCTGTAAGGGGCACCGCGTGCCCAGCCGCACAGCACCCCTTAGAGCTGCCACCAGGCACCACGCACCCTGGGCCAGGGGCCGCACGACGCCCCTTAGAGCTGCAATCAGGCGCCACGCAGGGGCAGATAAAGGGCAGGGCCCCGCGCTTCAGAAAGCCCCGTGCATGCACCGTGGCAAAAGGGGGACCCCGCGGAATTATGCTGCCCAGGGCCCCGCAAAACGGTCATCTGCCCCTGGCGCCACGCACCCGATTGCAGCCGTAAGGTGCACAGTGCGCCGGGGGGCGGGGCCGCGCATGCGTCGTGCACCCGCTGCCCAGGGTGCAGAAATGGCTCGAGCCAGCCCTGGTTGAAGGCTGCTCTCAAATCCCCGCTCGCTCTTCTCTTCTGCAGACTAAACAAACCCAAATCCCTCAGCCTCTCCTCGTAGGTCATGTGCTCCAGCCCCCGAATCATTTTCGTTGCCCTCCGCTGGACCCTCTCCAATGAGTCCACACCCTTTCTGTAACTGGGCACCCAGAATTGGACGCAATCCTCCAGACGTGGCCTCCCCAGTGCCGAATAAAGGGGAATCATCACTTCTCTAGATCTGCTGGCAACGCTCCTCCTAATGCAGCCCAATGTGCCATTAGTCTTTGAGGCTACAAGAGCGTCCTGTTGACTCGTGTCCAGCTTCTCGTCCACTGGAACCCCCAGGTCCTTTTCTGCAGAACTGCTGCTTAGCCAGTCGGTCCCCAGCCTGTAACGACGCTTGGGATTCTTCCATCCCAAATGCAGGACTCTGCACTTGTCCTTGCTGAACCTCAGATTTCGTCTGGCCCAATCCTCCCATTTGTTCAGGTCACTCTAGACCCTATCCCTGCCCTCCAATGTATCTACCTCTCCCCCTAGTTTAGGGTCATCCACAGATGTGCTGAGGGTGCAACCCATCCCCTCATCCAGGTATAGTGCTGATTGTTTCATCAGCATATCTAGCGGAGAGACTAAATCTCGTGACAGACGTCTGCGAGTGTTACACCAGCACAGTTACTTCTATCAACCCAGGTTGTACTCGCATCATCGTGCAATGCTTAGATCTGCCTGGCCAGGCCCCATGGACCATGAAACCATATTGATCGATACGGATTAATTTCCCATCCTGTTCCCCCACCCCCCCCGAGCATCTGCTGCTCCTTCCATCACTGAGTGAAACAATCACAGCAAGTGGCTGTTGCCTCCTGGGAGACCTGGGCATGCAGCCGTCCCTCCAGCAGCAAGAATCTGCTCCAAGGCCAGATCTGGGAGGTGATGTGGGCAAGCGGCAGGCTGACACCCGCAGCAATCTGCAAGAAGGTGGCTCTGGCTTGTCACAGGCTGGGGGCATGCCTGCGTGGGGCTCAGAATGTGCCCTCTAATTTTATTTCCATTGATGTGTGGAATAAATTGTATGTGCACGGAGGCATGTGCAGATGTGCACCACCAGTAGACACACATGCAGCCGGCTGTGGGTGCTCTGCTAATCAGCTGGGCAGCATTTGGATCTTTCCTGGGTGGCCGCCCAAGCGCTCAGCTTACAGGGAATCCTGGGGCTTCACCATTGAGAGGGGATGCCCAACTGTAGCATGGCGACCCTTTTAATATCCAAAGGGGGCTCCCGCCCTGGTGTTCTCTCTCCCGGGGAGTCCCAGGTTTTAGAGCATGAGTTGTATCCACATGGGGGGGGAGTTTGCAGGGGAGGGCCATGCTCCAGCCCCCCCCCCCTCCTGCGTCCGTCCTTTTTCCCGTGGCGGCGTCGTGTCTCCGGTGCCTGGTGGACGTGGTCCCGGTGAAGAACGAGGAAGCAGCCGTCATCATGTTCATCCTGAACTTCGAGGACCTGGCTGAGCTCATCGCTAAGAGCGCCAGCCGGAGTCTCCACCAGCGATTGTCCCAGGGCTGGCGCCAAGGTGAGCCAGACGCGGGGTCCCCGGGCAGGGAGGGGGGGTGTGGGCTTGTGTAGGGGCTGCGTGGAGAATCCGAGGCTGGAATTTTCTCGACCTGGCTGAGCTCATCGCTAAGAGCGCCAGCCGGAGTCTCCACCAGCGATTGTCCCAGGGCTGGCGCCAAGGTGAGCCAGACGCGGGGTCCCCGGGCAGGGAGGGGGGGTGTGGGCTTGTGTAGGGGCTGCGTGGAGAATCCGAGGCTGGAATTTTCTCGGAATGGAGCTCACTGTGCGGCGGGGCTGGAGGCCTGGTTCGGCACCGGGGCTCCGGCCCAAGCAGCGGCCTTATTGCCAATGGCTCTGCGAGGCCGCATGCTGAGCTGCCGCTGAGCCTGGACCCGTAGAGAGTAAATGCCAGCGAGAAGGAGGCAGCTCCGCAGAGGGAGGCGGATGGAGCCCAGTCTCCTGGCCGAAAGGGAGCTGAGTGCTGGGGCTGGGGGTCGGGAGGCGAAACCCATCCTCTCCTAAGCCCTCCCTGACCCCTTGCATCTGCCGCCGCCTGCGCGCTCACGGCTGCACCTGGCCTAGGTGTGTCCTATGCCCCAGCTGCCCTCGGATGGAATCACAGAATCACAGAGCTGGAAGAGATCCCAGGAGGTCATCAAGTCCCGCCCCCTGCCCAAGGCAGGACCAACCCCAACCCCAACCAATGATTTCCCCCCCCACACTCGATAGCTTGCCACGCCCACCCCTCTCACCTAGCCAAGCAGAGCCTGTCCTGCAAGCACGGCCAGGCCTCTCCTGGACCCCCCACTACTCCTGTGCCCCGTCCCGCCCATCCATTGCCCATCCGCAACAGGGCCACCTGCCCCTTGCCCTCCATGGACTGCCAGGGCCGCGGGCCCTATCTCAGCCCTTTCTTTCCAGCAGACTGCCCGGAGACAGCCTCCTGCCCAGGATCCCACTGCTCTCCCGCCCGTTTGCATGGCTGCTGCCTGCCCCGTGCATCCCCCTCGGGCAGAGCCTGCTTCCAGCCTGCGCTCGTGCACTTGGAAGCATGGAGGGAAGTCCCACCCCCAGCCCCATCCACTCCACCCTTGCTGAGCCCTCGGCCCGACGCTCCCCGGGGTTGAGGGGCTGTTGGTTTGGAGAGACGCACCCGGGCGTGCCAGCGCCAGTCTCAGGAGACGCTGCTCTCCAGGGCGTGGAGTGACACCGGTCTGGAGGCTCTGGCGGGAGGGGGGAGCCGCTCTCCTGCTTCAGACTCTCAGCTGGTCAGGCAGGATTCCCTTCTCCCCGCCCTGCCCTGTAGCATGGCCCAAGGAGCCAGGTGCCTGCTGGGGACTGGGGCCAGGGGGTATGAAGTGGCAGGCAGTGGCTGCTGTCCCTCGCCTGGGGTGGTGCTCCGATCACAGAGACCCGTCTGTTCCGTGACTGGACTCCAGGGTGTCCCTGAACCCTGCGGAACGGGCTGCCCTGGGACATCTGCGTTAGGGGCCAGGAGGAAGATTCTGGAGGCTGAGTCCCGCTCCCCAGCTCACCGCTTGCTCAGGGGACAATGCCCCTTGCCTGCCCTGTTTCCCAGCACTGACGTGTGTGCTCTGACGTCATCTCCCGGGGCCCTGCGGCCCCATTGCTTTTATGCTCTGGCTCAGTGTTTCTTAAACTTTTTAAGACTGAGGAACACCAAACAATCATTTTTTTTATGAGGAACAGCATACAAAGGGTTGGGGGAGAAGTTACTGAGCAAAAATAAAAAAGAAAGGTCGCCTGCTCCTTTAAGGGTGGCCATTTTGAACTCTGTTGTTCTCCGCAGCACATCTCCGACTGCCTCGAGGCACACCAGTGTGCCGCGGAACACAGTTTAAGAAACGCTGCTCTGGCTGGACGCAGGAGCCCTTTGCGATGTGTGTGTGGGGGGGTCCGTCTCTCCCCCTTTGGGGGAAGGGAGGAGGTGAGGCTCGTTGGCAGCCAGGGAGCAGGATTCTGTGACTGATGAATGAATGTTTTATTCTTATTGCCTCTCTTACCGCAGCTCTGAGGGTTCCCAGCTGAGAGCAGAGTCCCTCAAGGCCTGGCACTGTACAGACACAGAATAACAGGCAGGCGCTTGTCGGCTAAGTAGATTAGATCAAGAGAGGGAAGGTCGTCGGGGGCTTGGAGGGAGAAAGTGAGTTGTCAAAAGTTTCACAGCAGCCCATAGGCCGCGTCAGGAACAGAACCCGCATCTCCAAAGTATTTTCCATCTTCTCGCTAGTTTAAAATGTTTCCAGTCTGGTGGCTTGGCCATCTCTGTGAATTCTTAGACGCTTCAGGGGGTAGCCGAGTTAGTCTGTTACAGAAAAAAAAACAAATGGTCTGGTAGCACTTTATAGACTAACAAAACATGTAAATGGCATCATGGGCTTTCATGGGCACAGCCCACTTCTTCAGATGACCGGTTTTGTTAGTTTATAGAGTTCTACCAGACCATTTGTTGGTTTTTTTCTGTGAATTCTGTTGTCCCTGGTAGAGAATCGAGATGTGAGGTCCAGCAGAGCTGGCTGAGTTCTTCAGGGATCTGGAGGCATGACACTGGCCTTTAAATATGCGTGGAGGTATTTCACTATATCATGTGTCCTTGCTGTGTGTGTTAAACATCCAGCCAATTTTACAGGCGTCTGCTGTACTGTTGCATATGCTCACATGTATGCCAGGTTCTGGATTCATTTTCGTTTGAATAGAATCAGATTAAGCAAGTCTCTAAGGGCACGTCTACACAGCAGGGCTAAAGTCGAATTAAGTTATGCAACTTCAGCTACGGCCGTTGCATAGCTGAAGTCAAAATACTTTAATTCGGCTTTTGGTGCGGTCTACACAGCAGGTAGTCGAGGGAAGAACCCTCTTCCTCCATCTTCCCTTACTCCTCGTGAAATCATAGAATCATAGGCTTGGGAGACCTCAAGAGGTCATCGAGTCCAGTCCCCTGCCCTCACCACAGGACCAAGCACTGTCTAGACCAGTGGTCCCTAATGTGATGCTCGTGGGTGCCATGGCACCCGCCGGGGCATTTATGTGCGCCCGCCAAGTGATCGGGGCCGGCCCCACCCCCGGGTGTGTGGCACATGGGCGGCCCCTGTCCCAGGCGTGCTGTGCATGCGCTGTGCCGGCCCCGGGTGCGTGGCGTATGGACGGCCCCACCCCCGGGCACGCGGCGCATGTGCGGCCCCGCCCCTGGGCGCCCAGCAGCCCCAAAAGGTTGGGGACCACAGGTCTAGACAATCCCTGACAGGTGTCTGTCTCACCTGCTCTTCAATATCTCCCGTGATGGAGATTCCACAACCCCTGGGATACAGGAGTTGCAGTAAGAAGTCTTCCGGCTCAACATGATTTTGAAATAACGGCTTGCTGTGTAGACGCGCTCTTTGTGATGCCGAAATAACTCTGCTGTGTAGACATACCCTAAAAAACATCCTCCCTCCGACGCACTGAGCTAGGAACATTTTTGCCCTGTACAAATGAAATACAGGGCTGCTCCAGCAGGTGGCGCCAGTGTGTGGGTGCCTGTAATTCCTTGGGGTCAGAGTATGTCCCTCCCAGGAGGTCTGATTCCAGGCCAGCTTTAGGATTCGGCCGTCGCTAGGTAGCATGGCCTGTGCTAGGGTGGGAGCCAGGCTCGGCCTGTGTCCTGCCGCTGCCCTAAAAGCTGCCCCCTGCTGTACGTTAGCCACATTGTCCCTGGACGCCGGAGTGAGACACGAGGGACACATCACAAACTCCTTTCCTCGCGCTCCGTGGTGTCCCACCAGTTCTGAAGCAGTAGCACAACAGCGGCTACAGCCAACTAGCCACAATATTCTGAAAAATGTAAATCATTTTGTGAGCCAACTAGCCCCACTCAACCGGCCCACTAGCCCCTATGTGTTGGACAGGATGGATCTAACGCCTAGCTAGATGCTCGAACGCTCCGCTCCTAGGCCTGCTCTGCATTGCTCATGTGCCACAGCTGCCCGTTGGGGGGGGCAAGATCAGCGACTGGTGCTCAGAGCATGTTCCTCTCCTAAGAAACTGACAGCCCCAGGCGGTTTGCATGTCTCTCTCCCTTCCCCGCGAGAGGTGGCCTGTCTCTCCAGTACAGCGCGATCACGCCTGTTTCACTAACTAAGCACGGTCCGTGCTAGGATGGGGGACACCCTGGACTCCCAGCAGGGACCTAGGAGCTGCCAAGGTGCTGGTTTCTAGGCCCAGAAATACCCTGAGCCTGTTGTGGTTGTTCAAGATGTAGAAGGTGTTGCATCTACAGCTTCTGGCCTTGGCATTCAACATGTGAGCTGCAGGGAACGGAGACAACAGCTGAGCCTGTGCAGAGTTACAGCAATAGCTGGGGGAAGGGGAACATCAGTAGGGTCAGGGGTTCCTGTCGAAGCAAAAACACGCTCCTCTGTGTTTAGGCAGCTAACAAGCAGCTTTATTAATTAATAAAGCACAGCATGAGCCAAACGTGGTCACAGCAGAGCCAGACCCAGTAAGGCTACTAATACAATCAATCCTAGTATCTTTATACCCTTAACCAAACAGTCTGACGTCAGGGCATCCAATTACAGAAATCCTCAATTAAATTTGGAAAAACAAAGCCTTATCAACAAGATGGCGGACAGGTGCGAGGGAGTACATCTCCTGTCCCAACCAGCCCAATTAACACATACCAATAGCCCATCCTGTAGGCCTCTTCTCACGGGGTGACAGAAAGTTCACTCTGGTCTACGTGCTTGAGAGAAAAGCTGAAATGGTTTCTGATATACAAGATGGCTTCTAGCTAAATATGAAAATGGTTTCTACAGCTTCTACATCAGGTCCAGTCCCCTGACCTCCCAGTAGGACCAAGCACCAGCTACCTTATCTCTGATAGGTGTTTATCTAACCTACTCTTAAATATCTCCAGAGATAGAGATCCCACAATTTATTCCAGTGTTTAACCACCCTGAAAGTTAGAAAGTTTTTCCTAGTGTCCAACCTAAACTTCCCTTGCTGCAGTTTAAGCCCATT